CACACACACACACTCACATATATATATTTATATATGATATAGTTACATGTTTCTTTCTGCAAACACTAATTCGCCACACACATGTGCGTATTTCTTTCTGCGCATGCAGATACGTATAAAATAATAAATATATAAATGCATAGTAATGCCTGGTTACATGTTTCCCGAGCACAGACGTCTACTTGGTCGGGTAGCATTTCATTGTTGCAGACCCCTGTTCAGGCATATATTCTCTTTGTTCAGCAATCACTGATCCCATCTGTGGTTTACGATGAGCGGACCTTAGTTACAAACACACACGCACACACACACACACACACACACACACACACACACACACACACACACACACACACACAGAGGGAGAGAGAGAGCGAGAGAGAATGAATGATCAACTTTAAGAACCAAACAGTTCGTTCAAATCCTTAGTTCCAATGACATGTGATTTCGTTATAGCACAGACATCGATGATCTCTGAACACTCAGTTTCACTCACAAGACTTTGATCAAGGTGTGACATTGTTGCCGCACGTTGGCGTTATCTTTCCAGACTGATAACATCAACAAGTCACCTTCCTGACGTACTGACCATGATGAGATTCAAAAACGACACCTATAGTTGGAAAGCGAATGATCTAACCACAAGATCATATATGTACATTTTCCTCTGCGCGTGCGCGCGCGCACACACACACACACACACACACACACATATATATATATATATATAAATGTTTTTTTTCCGGTTGACTGCTTAATTCAACAAGTCAAGATGTTTCAGAAAGAAATTTAATTTTCAATGTTCTAAATATATTATAGCTAAGATAATACTCACAATGTTGAGAGCTGCAGATATCGGTTACCCACTTAGAAATGACCTTATAGCAATCTGAATCTCGATTATGTCATCATTTCTCTCTGAGTTACGGGTTATCCATTTAAGTTGTTGCTGTTGCTGAAAGTCCTCAAGTGATGTCGTTTCAGTTATTTGGAACAATTCTTTGTTTGCACCAGACCACAATGTTTAAAGACAGGTGGTCCTCGCTAAGATCTACACCTCCACTTTTAACTATAGATTTAATAAGCTTTTGTATGCAGCTGAGTTTTGATATTTGTGAACGAGTTAAGAGTCCTGTATGACACCCACCAGCAAGTCTTGGTCTGACAAGGCTGTTTAAGAACATGATTCGAGTTAGTAAATGCTTGTCTTAATCACAATCGTGGAGCCATTAGTGGTGAGAAACTTCATTAAATTAGATAAATGTTCATTTAATACCTCCTCGGCTACCTGAAGATATTGCAATGAGGTTAGCTAATGTGCTCATAATTTGCACTCACCATATAAACTCAAGAAAGTGGGGGAATACAGAATGGGCCAAAATAGAAAATCCTGAGGATCACTATTACGTTGGTGAGGAAAAAAGAACTTTGTAGGCAAGCTGTTGATTTCTTTTCTGGTTTTTGTTTGTTACGCCCCCCCCCGTGTAACGTAATTGTACATTTAGGGGTCTTAATCTTGGATTCTGTTTTATTTTTAGTTTTAGCACAGTTCATATTTTACCAGATGATAATTTTAAGGGATATGATTGCAAGAGTCAGCCTCTCGCTTTTGCTATTTTTAACCCGGATTGTGAGCAAAGTTCTCAGTGCTAACAAAAAGGTATTTGTATTTTTTTTTTTACACAATAAAAGTTCTGATGTTTAGATATTTCCTTGAAATTTCAGCACCCCTCATGGCTTCAAGAGAAGGAAACTTGTAGGGTCTGGAGATGCTCACACTTCTTTGAACTACGTGGATTGGTAATACAGAATAACTAGCACATAGTTCTTCCAAGTAAGAGAAACCACATCATTTGTAGACTTTCAACAGCAGCAGCTACTAAAAAGGATAGCATATGTAACTAGAAGAGAAAATCCTGATATAAGCAAGATGTTTGCATTTTAATCTATTTCGAAAAAAGGCCCGAAATCCCATGAGTACTGGAAATAGTGGATTTAAAAAAACTTATTTTCGTGGAAAAATGCTTTAATACAAAACTTTTATGAATTTCAATTGACTGTTGCGGATGCTGCTCGATCCATGAATATCGAATATTTCCTTATAAGGAAATGAATTATATTACCAACACCATTAGTTGCTTCCTTAACTATTCTTTATTGTAATCTGCTTTATTCTTGTTATGGAAACTTACCCATAATAATAAATGAACTATTCCTGACATTATAAATACTGCGCCTCTCAAGAGGATATTGTAAGACGAGGAGAGGTAATTGAGAGCATATTGTAAGGACATTGGAATAGTGATAATTGTCGAGACAACATAGCTCCCTCTAACCAAATCTGATACTCATTACTAATACTTCTACTTCTTTGTATTAGGTTGATGCAAAAAATAATGACGTAATAATGTCGTTTTTTGACGTATTTTTTAAAGTCAAAAAACGACATTATTACGTCATTATTTTTGCACCAACCTAATATTATATTTCTGTGGTAATATATCTTTGTATTCTATACCTGTATTCGTGTTATTCTTTCATTGGTTCTAACCTTGGACGATCAACGTGGTACAAGGAACTTGGGCCATAACAATTCTATTTATTAATAAAAAAGTACAACGAACATAGACAACTCTCACCGGCTGTTTTGATGCAAGGATTTTGTTACACATTTCGGTTCATATCAACAAGATTTTAGAATAGGTCCGTATGAATAGAAGATTTATTCCTTATGAGAAATCAATTTGTAAATCAGATTTCCTTAACGTAAACAGGTTTTTCTCGAGGTCAAATGTATTGCTGGTAATATTTTATTTTCTAAAATGTATTGCTGATAATATATTTTTTCAACATTTTTATTACTATAAAAAATTGTTTTTATATTTTCCTAGTGTATTGACACCAGTTTTCTCATTAAACTACTTGCCTATAGCTGGGACTCTAACAGGTGCTACCACCCCGGATTAGGGTGGATCCGGGAAGTATGAGGTGGTTCCACGTTGTTTCAGGTTTCGAAACGTACGCCACAAGGATATTCTGGAACTGCTCAGCAACTTTGATATATTCGGGAAAGATATCAGAATAAACAAGAACCTATACTGGCAGCAAACAGCATGCATGCGCATAGACAAGTTCAGCGAATATACAAAAATAGAAAGGAGCGTAAGGCAAGGATGCGCCTGCTCTCCCGAACTGTTCAACCTATACAGTGAGGCAATTCTGAGAGAATTGGAAACTCAACCCGGATTTTGCATTGACGGCCAAAGTCTTAACAGTATAAGATACGCAGTTGATACAGTACTGATAACAGATATGGAAAAGAAATTACAAAACCTCCTACAGAAGGTAGCGCATGAGAGCGTGAAGAAGAGACTAAGTATAAACTACAACCAGACAGAATGTATGGTCATCAGTAAAAAAGATGAGCCCGAAATGTGATTTGCAGGTTGGGAACACGAGCATGAAGCAGACAAGTTTAAATATCTGGGAAGAGTTTTGACAGAGGACGGTAAGTACGACACTGAGATCCGTAGACGTATTGGGATGGCCAAGGTCACATTTCAAAAGCTGGACAGAGAATTGCGAGACAGTAGGAATTCTTTGGTAACAAAGAAAAGAATACAGAGCTGTTACGTGATATCTGTTTTTCTTTACGGAAGCGAATGTTGGACTATCTGCTCAATGAGGATGAAGAGACTCGAGGCGACGGAGATGTGGTTCTACAGAAGGATGATAAGGATATCATGGACCGAGCATGTGAGCAAAGATGGGGGTCTTAGAGAGGATGCAAACAAAGAGGAGGCTTATACTTAATATCAGGAAGAGGCAGCTGAACTTCCTGCGACACATAATGTGGAATGAGGGCCTGGAGAATCTGATACTCACAGGTCGAATAGAGGGGAAGAGAGACAAGGGAAAACAACGCGTGACTTAACTAGCGAGTTTAAGCAAGTGGATGACAGAAGGTGGTCTGGGGAGGTAGCAGAGGGAAGGAAAGTGTTAAGAGCTGCAAAGGGATAGAGGAAGAAGTGGAGAGCCATGATCGCCTACTTCCTGAAAGGACATGGCACATAAAAAGAAGATCAGAAGCCTTGCTTTCGGATGTAGTTGTCGTCATACCAGGACGTGGCACATATTTAAATCTTTTTTATACATAGTCTCGTGTATGTATACACACGTATATTCTGTATGGCATACGAACTCTTATATAGATTGTATTTTATCAATATTTACGCTGAAACCTTTCAGACACTAGCAGCAGCAAGTATTGAACGACAAAAAAGGAAAGAAAAAATCACACAAAGAGAAATGACATAAAAAAATAAAATAAAATGGTGATGATATTACACGGCTAAATGTGAAAAAAGGGGCAGTGTGAAAGGAAATAAAACTGCAAAAACTAATAGAAAGCTTCAATTCAAATCCGAGCATTAATTCCTCGAACGCTATCAGAGAAGACAATCTGTTTGTCAGTCATTTTATCTTCCTAATTCTCTTTCTTGCATCTTCTTTTATCCATACTCACTGTCTCCATCATTTCGTTCCAATCGCTTTTTCAATTGGGGTTTCACGGTTTGTGGTTCGTTTCTCAGGTGGCCATTGTTTTAAAAATACAGAACTCCTTTTGGCCAATTCGGAACGGCCTCAAAAAGACACACCCGCCAAGCTGAAGTCATTGTTTATACTGGGAAATAATACTTGACCTTTATGTCCTTTTTATGGTTGTTTCGTGCCAGCGTGACTAGAAATTTCAAGGTCTGCATTTACGTCTTATCAGTAATATTTTTCGATTTCCATTTATTTCTTTCTTTCTTTCTTTCTTTCTTTCTTTCTTTCTTTCTATTACAGTATTTCCCATTTTCATTTAAGCTCATTGTTTTCTTTTTCTTTCATGCTTTCCTTTTTATGCTCTTTCTTTCTTTTGTGTCAATTCTTTCTTTCTTTTTTCGTTTAATCTTCATTTCTTATACTTTCTTTTACGTTCTTCCTTCGTTTCATTTATGTTTTTCCTTTCTTTTACGCCTTCCTTTCTCTCTGTTTCTTTCATTCATTCATTTTTTTTTCTTGCTTTCTTTCTTTTAAAACTATTCTGTTTTTTTCTTTCTTTTACGTTTTTGCTGCTTCTTTCTTTTTTTTTTTTTCGGCATGATTTCTTCATTACACTCTCTCCACACTCTCCATTTACTTTTGTCCTCTTCCATTCCTCCCTCCCCAAATATTCTTTTCTCTCTTCATCTCTAACACATTTACTTTGCTTTTCTCATCCCTCATTTTATCTCTCCTCTATTCTTAAGCACTATTGTTTATCTTCTCTACAATTCGCCCATTTGCTCCTCATACCCTTTCCCTCTTTCTACAATCTCCCCATTCTCTCTCAATCATCATTACTTTGTCCGATTCACCATGCCTCTCAGTTTTCTCGTTTTTCCAATGTTCATTTTCTCCTTTATCTTTTCTATTTAACGATCTTATTCCTTTTTTTCCTATTTTATTTTGTCTGTTTCTTCTTTTTTTTCTCTTTCTTTATGTTTCTGAATTCCTTTTTATTTATTTACTTCATAGTCTTGTCCTTTGGCTCTCTCTATATATTGGTTCGTGCGGGTTGAGTCTGGGATGCGATTGAGAAGCAATAAGAAGTGACAGAATGAATTCCAAGATGAATTCGACGGCCTCGTAAACTTGTAGTTGAATTTGTCGACTTTATGGCTGATCGCTGCCAACTAAGTCGGCTTTACAGCCTCATCTCGATGATCTGATCACGCTACTTAGAACATTATTCCTTGATAGCAGCAACCCATGTTAAAATAAGCACGGCAGCATTTTGGATAAAGCAACAAAACCCCAACTTTGCAATATCTTTTTTCTTTATATTTTTTTGTTTATTGGAATCACGTGATCATAGAATCGTTCGTCGATATTTGCACACAGTTAAAATACATTAAATGAAACTTCTATCTCAAATAGAAGATAGGAAAGTAATGACCAATTGAAATTCTGTTTTTCTAAAATTCGTCATACATAGATAATAAAACTTTGTCATAGAGTTTTGATTAGAATTTCCTTCATCTTATTTCGCTTGCTTGTTATCGTGAATCCAATATCGAGAATTTCCGATTGTAATTAAGCTGATGAAATTTGTTATAAAATACACGAAATCGAACCTTTTCATTTTCATTCCAACAATCGTGAGAAGGAAGATCTGAAAGTTGCGATAAAAAGCAACTGAAATAAGATGGAATAAATACTATTTGAAATAACTAAATAATAACAGTTATTCGAACTTTGCAAGTGTCTTCAAACAAGTTAGTAAGACACCATTACACTAGGACTAACTACACTAGAAAATTGGGTCTCGAAGCGAGTTTTATAGGGAAATATTTCATCTATGGGAAGGGATAAAATTATACAGCAATTTTGCCGAGAATCTACCAACAAAAATACAAATCTCAGGCCTTTACACTGGCAGTTTCATACACTAACCATTGGGCTATTGGCACGTTACGCGTTGTCTAATCGATTGTAATCATAGGAACACCAAATGCACTGCAGTAGTAGCTGGATTTGAATTCATAGTTTTCCTTCTAGAGTGTTTGGAACTGAGATTTAACACATAGCTGAAGCAGAGGAAGTGATGCGTTCATATCTTAGCCATGGATAATTGTTAGAAAGGGAATGTAAGGAAGTCGAACGGAATTTGAACTCGGATCGGCGATTTCACATACCGAATCGCTACACGTTGTACTACCCGCACGTCCACGTACTCATTGATAATTCATGTTGTCGACAACAGGAGAATGCGTCAGTTATAGGGAAACCTAAACTCAACAAAAAGCGGCGAATGAATTTGTTGAAGGGCAAGGCGCAATACGTTTAAGTGTGATAATTCCTACTTACATAGTAACCGATATTAACTTCCTGATTACCCACAGCAACCAAACAATGGGAGAAGTTCGATGTTATTTTACTGAGAGCGACGGCTGAATCCGACAAGGAGAGATTCCTGGAGCTTTTTGGCATTTCGAATCGATTGCGAAATTTTGTCTTTAACCGCATTCCTTTTTTGTCTGGACGAATAAGAAAACTAGAAAAGTTACTTTCCGTCATTCCTGACATTTTCGCCTTCTGTTATATTATATTTGCAAACAAACGATTATATCGCACTGGAATGTTAACACACACACGCATGATATTTGTGTGCTTGGAATATCAGTTCTATAAGTAAAGTTTCAACAGATTATATATATATATATATATATATATATATATATATATATATATATATATATATATATATATATATTGCATACATACATACATACATACATATATATATATATATATATATATATATATATATATATATATATATATATATATATGATAGGATAGGATGAGGAACAAATTGGAAACGTTACTTATCCTCTCATTCTGTTGGATTCCGATCCATATTTGATAAAATTCATTGTATGTCACTGTGTGTGTTTATCTAAAAATAAATACGCTAAAATTCACCTTCATCCCTGCCGTGCGCAGAATCTCCGATTGACACCAATTCACTCGGGTTTCGATCCTAGTTAGAGGCAACCGGATGTCTAGCCACACCGAAGAGCTGCGAAACAGTCTGTCTGATATATATATATATGTATATGTGTGTGTGTGCGTGCGTGTGTCGGGTGTTCCAGTAACTTGAACCGATATTAAATGTGAATTAAGTTTAAGCGTCTAATGATTTTTTCTTTTTCTTTCAGATTTAACAACTTAAGTCTTTGTCAATTTCAACCATGGAAAGATTAACAATCAAACGTGATGTTAAATTTATCGAAGCCTATTGCGAAAATGGACGTTCAAACAGAAATGCATTTCGCGCACTATTTTTGGTCAACATAATCGAACATCCGAAAGTGCAATTGGAAAAAATTGTTCGTAAATTCAAACAAACTGGGTCGGTGGCAGTTGTGAAAACACCATCGCGTGCTCCTTTACGCCGTTCAGCTGAAAACATTACAGCAGTGTACGAGTATATGGCCGAAAATCCAGACACCTCTTTTTGCCATTGCTCGCAGGAACTGAACCTCTCCACAACAACGTTACATCGAATTTTGTCAAAATTTTGCTAGCGCAATTATTGGGACGTATATTTATAAACTTGAACTTGAAAAACACGTGATTTTGCATTTTGAAATCTAGAATGCTGCATAACGCAGTAAAACGAACATTTGAAATGTTTTGAATTGACATAAATGCGTATACACATTCACAGAAAATTTAATCCCCTAGATAAAATTTTCGTACTTTTCTTAATCAATTTTCTAAGGCAACCAAGATAGTAATCCGTGAACTTAAAATGATCTCATCGAAAATAAATCATGATATGTCTAAATTATTTAACCATACCTGTTTGAATATATATATATATATATATATATATATATATATATATATATATATATGATAGTATAGGATAGTATAGGATAAGAACAAATAGGAAACGTTCATAAATTAACGCAATTCGTTTTTATTTAAGCTTCATGAGTAATATACAAGTGATAAGAAAATGGTTTTACTTTTGTGTTTGGTTTTAATTGGTTAAATAGACCTCACATGTACAGATCTTGTCAAATAAAGTTCATGTATATATTTCTCGAGTGTTTGTATATCATAATTGTAGTTGGTCTGAGTGGGATTTGCATGATATATAACTTTATTGCGGAAATTTCTCATTTAAACCTTTTTTCTAAGAAATCCCAAAGTGTATTTCGACATTTTAATTTTTATTGTTCCTCATAAAAGTGTTCCAGTGTGTGGGAAAACTGTCCATAGGTATATTTTAGAGCGTTTTCGCATTAATCATTTTCACGAATAAGAGTTATTGCATTCATTTGGAACACAAGAAATCATTAAGGTATTTGTTTTTACTATCATGGCATTTGATGTTTAAAATGTTATAAATCTAAATAAAGTTCTGACATGTTAATGACATTGTTTAAGAACCGCTTAAGCAAGTGATAAATTTAAATCATAGTTTGATCTTTTATATATCATTTACTCTGTTCCAGAACGTGTAAAAACGCTCAATTTTCTGCGCAGACCGCGCGCCAGTGTACCCAGTAAATTTGTTTGGAATTATTATTTTCTTATTATTTTCTTCATCTGGTAGGTAGGAGATCACAATAACCGCGAGAAGAATTTGAAACATAATCGTTTCAGCACGTCCAATAACCATTGGGATAATACAATATTATATCTTGATACCCACAATGTACAACTGACCAGCAGATATAAATAATCGAGTCAAAACACAATGCATAACATCTGAAGATTATGAAGGAAATTGAGTGTCAACGTTGTGTTTTTAGCTCAGTGTCCATTTTCATATTTACATATTTTCTTTATCTGATAATCAGCACTTTTATCCATAAGTATAGTATAAATTAAACAATACTTTTATCACACACACACAGACACCCACACACACACACACACATATATATATATATATATATATATATATATATATATATATATATATATATATATGTTATAATAACAGTGCACCATGTAAATATAAAATATAGATATAAACAGAGCCAATATCAGAATAAAACGATACCCGCATGTTGCTGCCTTAAATACAGAAATATAGAATTGGGTATCTTTTCTATTCTGAATATTGCCTCAGACGTAAACCAAACTGGGAGTTCCATGAAAAACTAAGACGCAGAAGTAGCAATATTTGACTATCTTTTTATTTTATTATATATATATATATATATATATATATATATATATATATATGTGTGTGTGTGTGTGTGTGTGTGTGTGTGTGTGTGTGTAATGGTGTGTGCATATTCTTTAATTTATACTGCATTTCTGTAAACCAGAACCTATAAATTTTTTATCAGATTAAATAAATCTTATTAAATCGAAGGAGTGAATTAACTGTAAATTGTAACATTGTTTGCCTTTTACCTTACAATTTAGTTAAACTTTGGAATGTGATTATATTTTTCTTATATTTAAATTCTAGTTGTACTGCGTTGCAACATATATGGCTTATCTTTCTATTTGTAAGATTAATTTGGATGTTGTATAATTATGTATTGATCTCCCGGTAGCATTAGTATCATTTAGTACGGATATATTCGTATTATTTTATTAACAACTTAACAACTTATATTGAAATATTTCTCAAATATTTATTCAACAATTTTATTTTAACTTTCTCAAATATTTCTATAAACATAAATTGTTTAGCATTTTGGGAATGACGGTCTTCTTCTGTCTTTAATCTAAAACTTAGCTAGTCACAGACACTGACCCAAACATGCCAACAATAATCCAATCACCAAAACATCACATTCTTTTTTTCCTACCTTTCTTACTACGTTCACCATAATACCTCAATTTCTCTATGACGTCCTAACTAGTCCCCTTATTTACAAATATTGTTCATGGGGGGAGGGTCATAAAATAACAACTTTTAAAATCCCCAAATGAGTATTTACAAAATGAATTAATTATTTACAATAAAACTAAACAAAACTGAGTTAGTAATAAAACCCCCCACAAACTAAGAATGTGGCAGAAATGTCAGTTAACCAGACGA